TTACAATATTATGCAGAGAATAAGTTTCTATGGTGGTATGAATCACAAAGTTGTGTATGGACGATAGTCGATGAGGAGAAACAATTATTATTAGTATAATAATGGTAAGTATCTTCAGTACAGTTTAAATTGAACAAATTAAACTGGTTTTCTTATTGCTCAACTCTTAAAAGCAACAAGAGACTGATTTACAGATTTTTAATATATGTCATGATAGAATGGAATCTATTTTCCAACTATGAATATGAAGCATATAGCATAATCATAATGTCCCATTAAATTCATAGAACACAATATCAACTAATAGAATTAATTTGATCACTAATGTAGTGAGCAACAAGTAGAAGAAGTAGATTAATAACTTCAATATTACTTCTGTTAGTGTGTAGTGTTTAAAATATAATGATATGCATTCTGAAGAAATGTCAAAGGCTTTAGATACTTTCATACTAAAGGTAATCTGATTGTTTAGATAAAAAGTTTGAATAGATTAAACATAGTAGATCCATTTAAATGTGCATCTAGGTCTATTTTAACTTGTCAATAAGAATATTGCAAAAGTTAAATGAAGTCAAGGTCCCAAGAAACACGGGTCTTTCCATGTGGATCAAACCGTGTACTTAAAAGGGAGTTAAGAAAGTCCAGCAACATACGGGACTCATATAATTGTGCAAATGGTAGATCAATCAAACAGGACATTACACCAAAATAATTCACAATGTTAGTCAATGTTAAGAATTATATTTGATGATTGATTATTTGCTAAAAAGAAGTAAAGTTTAGAATTGTATTGATCGAGATTTAAAATACCATGATCGAATAGGAATAAAGTAACAAGAGAATCAAAATCTTTTGGTATAAAATAATTGCACATCATTCTGGAAGACTTAGATACATTGAGAATAGTACAGGAAAAAGCTTGGACACATTTTGATTTGCAATAGCAGCAGTGCAACAAAGACATAATCGTGCATTTAAAACAATGACGATTGGTTTTGGTCTTAATATAATATCATGCTAACAGCATATGAAACAACAATTAAAAAGACACTAGTATTAAATGATATGATTGACATCACATGATCTGTTTAATGTTGTCACAACCTAATTAATGTACGTAGAACATACTGTATATCCATTGGATATCTTGATAGACTCAAAATTATAAATTACAAATCAAATAGACTGATTTTAATCAAAATTGCTGAAAAAGGAGTCATGGGCTGTTTCAGAAGCACTATAATTATAACACTTACATTTGCACTTCAATATAAACCCAGTCATTATTAAATGGACTATAATTTAAGGAATAATATTTTTGAGCTCCATCTTATATCCATAAATCAGAAAATTCATGTAGTGTATAACATAAACAACTATGAGCAAGCCATAGATGTAATTAGTAGCACAGGTGAATATTTTTAAACTGTGCATTACATTGCGTACA